TTGCCAAGTCCTGTCCAAAATAAATTCATGCTTTTAAATTTGAACCGATCCCAATCCCGAGATCTTAAATACGCTTCCCCACCCCACTAAGTTTTCGGGTAGGGTTCAGGTTGCTTTGGTTAGGCCTGCCCAAGTCCTACCCCTAAGGAAAATAGAGCAAGTAAACAGCCTCAAAACACAAGATTTTTATGTGAAATACCCAAATAGAGAAGAAGCACGATTTAGTCCACAGTTAATTAATCCACTAAGAAGATAAATAATAAAGCCTTATCATACTGTTTTTCACACTAGAACCACTAGCCTATTGCTTGCTTGTTAATTTACCTCGGAATAGACTCACACCAAATACTCGTCTTGAGCTTTGTTCCCGTCATTCAGTGAATCCTTCTCCATGCGAAATGTCCTTTTATTTGGTGGGAAGGCAAGCTCGAGATGCATGGAGGGTCAGTCCGCTTTGTATTTGGTGGAGTTTGTGGTGTGAGAGAACTAATATGGGTGCTGAAACACTATATTTTGATGGTGTGGAAGCACTAATATGGTAGCTGAAACACTATATTTTGAGTTCCTTATTTTCTTAGGTTAAAGGGAGAGTATGTATGTCTGTAGGGGATTTTGTTAATGTTTTTGATAGTTTGAGGGCATAATGATGTATTCTTTTGTGTAGTTGTTCCCTTGGGTGTCCTTCGATTGTCTTTTAATGAAATTTTACTTCTTTTTTTTTTTGATAAGTAAAAGTCGATTAGAAAAGCGCTCAAAAGGGGTCCCTAATACAAAAGGCGAAAATTGAATGTAAGGACCAATAGAGTCCAAAAGATCAACTAAGTCATCAGTCGAGGAGCAAGCGCTTCCTTTCACATAACAGAAAATAGAACGAAGAATATGAATTTTCAAGGTCGCCAAAGACGATTCCTTTCTTTCGAAATTTCTGCTATTCCTCTCTCTCCATATGCACCACCAAACACAATGTGGAACTATCCTCCAATAGTCACGAGCGTGACTTTTCACTGGGTATCTTCTCCACACATTAATCAATCCTATGGAGGTCTGAGGCATTACCCAATGAACACCAAAAATGCCGAAGATGAGGTTCCAACAATCGTACGCTACAGGACAGTGCATAAGAATGTGATCCACAGACTCACCGCCTGTTTTATATAGACAACACCAATTAACAATAATGTTACCTCTCTTTCTCAAATTATCCAACGTCAAAATCTTGTCCCAGATGGCAGGCCAATCAAAGAATGCGACTCTAAGTGGAGCCTTAGAATGCTAGATAGTCTTCCACGGGAAATCATGACCAACGAAATTGGACAGACACAAGAATATGGACCGAACACCAAATCTACCGTGGGTGGAAGGGACCCACAAAATATCATCACTACCTCTGCCAACATCCTTCTGCTGATACAACAAATCCAAAAAAATGCATGCCTCTTCTATCTCCCAATCCTGAAAAGAACGCCTAAAACGCACATCCCACGTAACCCCATTGCTATCAAGCTGATAACAGTCAGCTACACAAGCGTGCCTATTTTCGGCAATACTATAAAGTCTAAGAAAGGAATAAGACAACAGCTGATCTCCACACCATAAATCCTTCCAAAAGCGGCCACGCCTACCATCACGAACCTTGAATCAGATGTGTGAGGAAAAGACATCCTATTCCTTCCGAATGAATTTCCACACGCCGACACCTCCCACAACAGAGATTGGACGGGAGTACCAGCCACCACTCTCCTCCCCAAAACGACACGAGACGACCCTTCTCCACTGGTGATGTCGTTCCCTACTGAATCTCCATAACCACTTTCCCAATAAAGCTCTATTAAAAGAAACCAACTTTCGGATGCCTAAACCGCCTAATTTTAAGGGTTTGCAAACTTGCTCCCAGTTAACAAGATGATATTTGAACTCCTCTCCCCTTCCACCCCAAAGAAAGTCTCTTTGAATTTTTTCAATCCTTTCAGCGACAGAGCATGGGATTTGAAACAAAAGATAAGAAGTAAGTGGGAAGGGATGAGAGAGTACTCTTAATAAGAGTGACCTTCCCCCCGTTCGACAAATATTGCTTCTTCCATCCTGCCAAGCTCTTCTCATACCTATTGATCACCGAATCCCAGCTCCATACCCACCTACTCCCAAAGGCAATCCCAAATAAGTGGCTGGTTTCTTTGGTCAGTCATCCCAGCCTTCACAATCTTGTCTCAACTGCTTGAAACAATCTTCTCAATGAACAAAAGAAGTCTCAGTGATCTTCACTAATAATTCAGGACTTGTTTATAAACTTGCTGTAGGAAAAGCTTTTAGAACAATGAGTTCTCAGTGGAAATTTCTCACAAGTTGCTATCTTTTTCTCTCATTCACGTGACTCACGTCTCTCTACAAAATCATGAAAAATATATTTGTAGACACCATGTATATGTGTGTAAAATGGTATCCTTATCCTTATATACTTATCAAAAAAAAAATATTCTTAGAAATTTATTTGATATGATTTAGGGAAGCTTGATAAAAGGTAGGTACGTGTTATTTAAATGAAACAACCTAATTTGAACCCATTGTTCAAACTACCGCTGTTCAGATTTTGAGTAATGGTTACTATGGAATATGTGGGAATATTCTTATAATCAGCATAATTAATGGGATTTAACCATGTGGGTATTATTATAAATACATGGGTGTAGAGATGTCAACAGCATACCTCAACCCATTGTTACATTCTTTGTTCTCCTCTTTTCTTCTTCTTTCTTTTCAGGGATGGAGCCAGGAAATTTTCTTACCGGGGGTTTGGTAACATTTCATATATATTTACTAAATAATGTTTACGCATATATATCAGTGTTTATGGAGTGTATATATATATGTATAGAGAGAGAGAGAGAGAGAGAGAGAGATTGATATTTTTGGGATGAGGTAAATTAATAAATTGCGCATGTAGAATATAAGGGGGGCACCCAGGCATGAACTCACTCCATCCCTCTTTCTTTTCTCCTTTGTTTTCTCCTCAAACCCTAATCATCCAAACCCTAAAATATAATTTCAACTTTTACTCTCCTCTCTGTGGGGTTGTGTACCGGTGCTCAGGCACTGGGTAACTGGATACTCCAGAAGCTCACTAAGTTGCTCACAAGCACAGTTTGTAAGAAACTGTTCTCCATTATTAGCACTCTTTTTTGTTGGGTTCTAGGGAGAAATAGTAATTCCATGGAGGAAATAGTTGATTTTTTGGACTCCCTGAGAGTTTAGACTTTAGAGGCCCTATTTGGCCTTGTGTATCTTATGAGGGATGCGTTCCCCTTTTGAACGCTTCTTTTATACAATTTCGCTTATCAATTATTTATTTATTATTATTTTTTAAGACATTTCAAACAAATCCAGATCTTCTCAAAAACATATGCAATCATTCCAAACAAATTTTTTATTTTTAAAAAAAAGTTATAAGGCATCTAAATCCAAATGTTCCACGATCCTAATGTGTTAGATATGAGAACTTCTTAAACCTTTAAAGATCTTCTACTTTAATGATGTTTTACCATTGTCTCTATTCACAAACAAAATCCAAATGATTCAAGGCTCAAATAAATAGAAACATTACAACTTTGAGCTTTTGACATTAAATTTGCGAACAGACATTGACTGTAAGTACTAAATCTCCTCTTGCTGGAATCACTAATTTAGCAATGAGGCTGTGGTGATAGCTGAGATTCAGTGCAGGAGTATTAAGGACTTCTACAAAGCTGAGGCTGTTGAGATAGCGGAGCCTTTAACTGTTCATTTTCTTGGTTTAAGTCATCAAATTAGCTTTGGTGCCCAATCTGCTAACTTCAATGACTTCTTTCATACTCTCTAGCTGGGCATAAACAGCTTGGAGACTTCTGTCCATGGGTTTATCGTGTTGTTGAGAAGCCCTAGTATTCACCATGATTCTTTGTATTAAGTTGGACAGTAGATAACCCCAGCATTCATTTCCAAGACGGCATGCATCTGTAGAGGTCAATTTTCTTCAACAGTGCAAAAACTTGAATAAATTACAAGACCTAGGGACCTAGACATGTGTGGTGCCCGCCATATTTCCTTCTGTGGTCAGGTCAGAACAGGGTGATGATGATATCAGAGTACTAGAATGAGAGTTTATTCACACCTTGATTCTCTGTCATCTTCTGCTTATATAGTGCTTGCTCTAATTCTCTTGAATTTATTTTATTTAAGTTTTAAACTAGAAATAAGCAAATAAACGTGGGCTTGTATACTGGAATTCTTAGACATGAGGTAGTTGAATACTTCAGGATTTCAGGATTCTTGATAAGCTTTTATAATCTACGGGTTATCTAACGTGGCGGTTCATAAGCTCTGAGAGAACCTCCTACCTTAATGCCTGAACCGGTATGATACAGCTCTGGAGTTTACCTTTAGAGAATATCTTTTATCTTCTTGCCTTTACATGTGATGCCCTCCTTTTTATTTCCTTTTATCCTTTTCAGTTGTACTTATATGGCATTCTCTAATTAGCTGGTTGGTTATTAATTTACTTATCAAAAGAAAAAAAAACTGGTTGGTTATTTTTCCTCTACATTCTGTCTCCTCAGTTAAGGTTTGTCTCCAATCCCACCCAGCACCTTGCATAGGTGGGACATACATTGCATAGTGCACTTTATTATAATAAAATTTCATTTCGCATTAGAGACTAACTTATTGTACTGTAAGAATGATTATATGAACCCAGCCCGCCACAACAGATTTAAAGTTTGACTGTATACCTTAAATTTCAAAGTACTTTGGATCAGCTACACTGCTTTTTTTCTTTTTGTTTTTATCTTTTTCGTTCTTCAACTATAAGGCCGTCTTGTCCATTAAATTATAGGACATCATGTATTCTGTCACAGTGACCTAAATTCATTTATCCATCTATCATATAATGTGTACTAGATGTTAACCATTAATTTAAAAACATATATGCGATTTCTGCGGTTTCACTTCTACTCTTTTATTTCTTTCAGAAGCTGCAGCATTTGGTGATGATGAGAATGAGGTTGGTCCACATTTAAAATTAAACCGGCTTAAATGTTTAGAATTTGAATTACTGTGTCTGTCTTCTTTGCCTAAATGAATAGAACTCTCTCTCTTTCAGTCTCTTGATGCGAAGGCTCAAAAAGCATTGGAATGCCCTTGCATTGCTGACTTGCGGAAGGGCCCATGCGGTACCCAGTTTTCAGAGTCTTTCCTATGCTTTCTCAAGAGCACAGCAGAAGAAAAGGTAACCGCTATTAAACTTTTTTTTTTCCTAAGCCAAACTTTATTAATAACTTTGTGCCCCCAAGGAGTTGGCTCAAGTGGGTAAGAACTTGGCCCTTTTGCCTCATGAAGTATGAGGTCTAAGCTTCGACTCCTCTTGGGTGCAAACAATTCCTTGGGTGTGAGTATCAACTAGGAAAAAATAAATATTAAACCAACAAGCTCCAACAGCATACAAGAGGGAGCACCTCAATTAACTTGCAAGACAAACAAGTCTTCCAGAAAATCAACCAAACAACAAAACTCAGCTGAAGAAAAACCATTTCCAAAAACCACATATAAGAAACAAAAATTCAAGAAACAAAACTGCCAAATGATCTTGAATTAGTTCATCAACAGAACAAACACTCTTTTTAGTTTGGGCTTGGACGTGACTGTTCCAAATGATCTTGTTCCTCTGCATCTGTCTGGAAGTTCTCTGAACTTTGCTCCTTTAAAAGGACATCAAAACATCTGTTAATCTGAATCTCAGGATCAGATTTCTTTAAACCTGTATTCCCATTCACATCTAAGCAGTGGGAATTCATTTTTTTCCCATAAGTTCCTTGATCCATACTGTTATAATTTTCTACAAGAATCACTTTACCTTTATTCCCCTCTCTGCCACTGCTGATAGGCTTGCTCTGTATTTCCAGTAGTTAAATCCTCAACTTCTGTGTTTTTGGGGCGCCAAACCTTTGCTGGAGTACTTGGGCATTGCTTCAAGGTATGCCCAATTATTTTTGCAATGATCACAGAGCTTTGGAGTCCATTGGTATTCAAACTTGACCTCCACTGTTTCACCATTACCCATCAGCAAGTCTATAGACTGGGAATTTGCAATTCACATCTTTCTTCACACAGATTCTAGCAAAACTGATCCTTGTCAGAGCCAATAGCACTTGCAACACAGCTTAGGCCTTTTGCTGACCAAAATTCAGGGGTAAGATTGAAGATTTTCACCCAAATTGGAACTTTATCCGCTGACTCTCTGATCAAGCACATGTTAGGAGCCCACTGTTTAACCATTATTAAACAGTTGATCTAATGAAGCACCTTGTATGGCATTCTAGCTCACCTACTGGAAATTGATCAAATGGATCACCTTTCATAATAAACTAGATTTCTTGTGTGAAATGGAATGAGAATTTGTTTTCCTAGTACCTTTGATGGGACAATATTCCTTTTCCTGCCTTTTACTGCCTCCCAAGATCTGAAGTTGCTTAATTGCTAGTATGTTACTTTTCTAGTCTGCTTTCTATGGAAAGCAAGAGTCTTGCCTAAGGTTAAATTTTTGGTGTGGGTGTGTCTAGTGGTGGTATAAACTCCAATGACTTGCTTCAAATGAGAAAACCTAAGTCTTGCATTTTCCGATGTTTGCATGATGTGAAAAAAGTGTGTGGAGGCATCTGACTACTTGTTTTTCTACTGTTCTTGTGTCCCTTTTTATGGAGTTTATTAGTTAGTATGGTTTGCGCAAGTAAGGTTGCTTTAGCACAAATCATTCCCTGACAAGACTCAGATGGAGATGATTGTGAAAATGTGGGATTCATGGACATTCATTGACTGATTTGAAAGAAGAGGAACTATAGAATTTCTGAAGACAGTTATGGAGATGGAATCTTTGGTGAAAAAAAGCTAAACTTCTTACAACTATGGTGATGTGAATTTGAAAGCATTCCTATGTTTCAAGTTCAAAGAAATTAGAGCACAGCTTAACCCGCTAGAAATCATAACTCTCATGCCCTCATATATTTGTGTATTCATGTTTTTGTATATTTATGTAAATATTAATATGTATATGTACATGCACAATTTAATAACTAATGTCCTACTTTCATATGTAGTCTTTCAATACTTCTTCTTCCTATATCTTTTTTTTTATTATTTATAAATATATCAAAATTTATATAATTTTTATATAAATTTTTAATTTTATTTTTCTGGCAATTAAATTTTCTTCCATGCAAGCAAAAAGTCTTGTATACAATGTTTTTCGTTACTCTAGTTAGCTCTTGACTAGGAGTGTGCAAAAGTGTGCATGTAGATATACATTTATAAATTATGGACATGTCCAACACTCATGTATCTAGGAGTGTGCAAAAGTGTCAGTCCTTTTTAGAAGTATCCATATTTTATACTTCAGTTCAATTTGTAACTTCGTCATTCTTAATAATACCTCAATTGTTATCAACAAGTTTTTGATTCTCAAATTTTACTGTGTCAAATTTTTTTTTCCTAAATAACAAAGAATTCTTGCTGTAAATCTAAAGACGCATATATCTTTATAATCATATTTTTGTAGTAAAAAAGGATGTACACATGTTTTACAAATAAATTCATTTGGTTGCTCAGGAGACTGGAGAAATTGGGCAAGGGGAGGAGAAATGTACTTGAACTTGTGATCAAATTCTATTTTCTTATTTTCACTTTTCTCTTCTTTTCTTCTACCTATTGGCAACCGAACAATGTGGGCTCTTTGTTTGTTGACTATTTCAGCTACGTTTAATGTCCCATCCTTAGTGATATAAAGTTGGGATTTGGTGTCTTCAATAATGATCAATGTATTAGTTCTTACTAATTAATAGATTGGCACTAAAGTAGTTTAAAAGATGGATTTTGCGGTTACATGGTAGAGATAAGCTTGTCCTTTCCCTTCTTCATCACCAAAGAGGTTTGTGTCGTTGTAAATGCTTTGTATAATAGCAATTCACTTGTTGGAAATGATTTTTTTTATTGGATTTTATTTGCTGAAAGATTCAAGTGACTGAATAGGATGAGATAAGTTAGGTATGGATGATGGATATGTTTTAGTCGGTTTGTAAAACCGGCCTATTTAGTCAGCTTATATATATCATTACTCTAGTTAATTTGTAATTCTTTTGCAGGGATCGGACTGTGTGCATCCTTTTGTGGCATTGCAGCATTGCATTAAAGCCAACCCAGATGCATTTTCGAAGGATGTATTAGATGATAATAGTGAAGTCAAGAAGGAGGAAGAGAGTGAGGTCAAGAAAGAGGAAGAGCGAAGCCGTAAGTACAAAATCATCCCTCCCATTTGGTCTGTGGAATCAAAAAGTCCGAAACACAAGCTTTAGGAAGATGTTATTTCTCCATTTTTGCCTCATCCTTTTTTACCCCTTTTTTCTGATAAAATCTATAAATGAATATGGCATTTTTATTATCTTTTTGGTCCTAATGCCATACTACGTTGTTTAGGGTTTCTTTCATTTTTTGGGCCGTCTGCATTCCCTCTTCTCTACATATTTGTGTGATTGTAAGATGCATTCACAATTCACAAACAAAACAAAAGCAATATAATTGGTTTTAACAGTGATCTTTTCTCTTTATACACACACACACACACACACACACACACACATATATATAGTAAAAGAATCTATTTTGTGGTATTTAGAAAATTAAATCTCGTGTCCGGAGATATACTCCGACATAAAATATTTTTTCTCAAATTTTTTTTTCTTTTTTCAGGTAAAGTAATTTTTTATTTTTGTTTTTTCGGTGTTTGACAAAAGTCTCAAGGTTAAGGTTGGTGTAAAATGGAGACTAGTGCTATGTTTTTGGTTTAATAAGTGAAATTTGCAGATGATCATTATCTTACTATTGACAACTACAGATGGATCATTTTTGCCATTTTTGCGCATTGCAAATTGAACTTGAAGATCACACTTTACTCTTGCAGCATATTTTTCTTGATTTTAATTTGCTACCGATATAACCTGCATAAATTTATCTTAAAATAAACTTGAAACCATTAAAGCTTGATTTTTGGTTAGATAGAAAATGGTTGAAAGTGAAGTAAATTGAATTTCTTATATGGAGTTTTGATGGCATGAAAAATAAAATTTTGAGAAAAAAATTATTTTTCCCTAACCACCTAACTTTTTCATGAACTTTTCCTACATTTTGCTTTCTTTGGAAAGTCAATTATTTTTTCTCTCTCTAAAATTAATTGTGATAATGCTTAACTTTTAATAAGAATGGTATAATGGTCTTTATCTCTTTCTTAGTGTCCTATAAATATTTTTTTTAGATTCTTATATTACCTTTCTTGGATGGCATGTCTCACACACACACACACACACCTCCAATGATATTTAAAATATATATATATATATAGTATGTAGAGTGAAATTTTCATATTGCCCTCCTAAAATTACTAAAATATCCCTTAAAAAAGTATACTCCCTAAAAATGACATAATAATATGGTACAGAGAGAGTGGATGGTATAAGAGCTCATTGGATTCAAAGGATAGCATTACTAGTGGTTGCAATTAACTATGAGTTGTACGATAAAACCATCCAGATTTCAAATGATTCTAACCGTTCATCAAAGTAGTACTATGTTTTTTTTTTTTAAGAGCAAGAATGTTAAGAATTAGAATTTACTTGTTAGAGAAAAATGAAAGACTGCAAAACTCGAACAAAGGCCGGGGGAACAATCCAACCTTATTGACTCTTATTGGCATGCAATAAATGATTGTCAAAAATAAATAAATAAATATTGGTTGCTTAGCTTCGCACCAGTTCCATGGTTTTTCGTGTGAATTTGACTAGGCTCTCTTTGTTCTAGGGTTTAGTGATAGTTAAATGTACGTAGTATTATTTTTTTATAGAGTTGTTGTTTTATATTTCAAATTTGTGATCATGCACAAAGTTATTGAGAGTTCAGCAACTGAAATTTTTATTTTTGTATTATATATTTTTGACTTTTTTATTTTTGTTTCATATACTTATAAAATTTTAAAATTATTCCCACCGAAATTTCAAAAAAAAAATTACCATATAAGTTTGTCCCCCTCTCCCTCTCCTGAATTGTTACTGTGTAACCTTTAAGTTATATAATAGTTCAACTTTATCGTCATTAAACTCATCCTCTATGGTTCTTAAAATGAGATTTGACTAAATTTTAAAAAATAAAGACGCAGTGAATGAGTGACCTCGAGGTAAACAAAATATGCTAATAAATATAATTTTATGAAAAAGAAAAACATATTATACTAATGCATCAAACATTGATCTTATTTCACAGAACATACAAATGGAGTGTTCCCAGACTATTTATTATTGTTATACCACACATTTATTTATAAATTATAATAGTAATAAAATTTGTGACAATCATTACAAACTCATGTTTTAGCACCATCAAATGGTAAAATATGCAACTTTATCATTAACGTGACTAACATATGGTATTAAAAACATCAAATATGATCAATTCCCATCCAAAAATGAACTTGGACTCTTAAATTTGAACCCAACTCCAATCTCAAAATCAAGCTCACTAAAATTTTGGGTTGATTTCGGATTGCTCGGATAAGGCTGCTCAAGTGTCACCTCTATTTTTATTTGAACTATAATCAATACATCAAAACTAAGAGCATGTTTTGGAAACATTGAATCAGTGCTTTGAATTTGGGATTGAAAAAAGTTTAGTTCAAAATTTTTTCTAATCTCAAAATCAAGCTCACTAAAATTTTGGGTTGGTTTCGGATTGCTCGGGTAAGGCTGCTCAAGTGTCACCTCTATTTCTATTTGAACTGTAATAAAAATTAAGAGCATGTTTGGAAATATTGAATCAGTGCTTTGAATTTGAGATTGAAAAACGTTTAGTTCAAAATTTATATTAAATTTTCTCCAATCTCAAATTCAAAATGCCAATTCGGTGATACTAAACATAGCATAAGTCGAATCAAGTTTTCAATTATTTGAGCTAGATAATAAAACTCGAATTTGACAGCTCAAACTCAAATCAAGTCTAAATAATAGTGTTTGAGCTTGGCCATGAGCATTGCTTGCCAAGCTGAGCTCAATTCATTTGACTTATTTAATCAATTTCGAACTTATACTTGAGCTTGAGACCAAAATTGATAAGGAGCAAAACTAACTATGTAGTATTTAGACAAACCCTAACAAACGGATCATGTTTACTCTTGGGAAATGTGCTAGTTTTAAAAACTTTCTGAGGGATTTTCATACATAGATCTTGATTCATCACATAGAGACAAGTTTTATGCAAAAATAAAATATGATGTATCATTCAATTAACAGATTGAATACTTACATCAAAGGTTTGAGTAAACCTTTAATTCTTTCCTCTAAAATGAATGTTTTCACTTATTGTCTAGAATGAATGTTTTCACTTATTGTAGATCCCTTAGCAAGATGTCTTCTCCTTGGATCTCCATCTTCTTGGTAATTGTTTGGCCTTTAGGAATCACTCATAAGCTTCCATGAATGACCTTGGAAAACTAGGTTTGTGGGAGCCTCCATTAGATGAGAATATAAACCCTAATTTTCTAAAGAGAGAAAATATATTCATTTTTCCTTCTCATAAAAATCACCACTAAAATATACATAGACTATGTATATTTATAAGCAACATAAAGATAAAGAAAATGAAACAACAAATCATTTTCAATCTCTAATTCACATGTCTAAAATCTAATAGGATTCCAATATCAAGTTGGGCTATGAGTGAGAATCATTTGGGCTTATTATTTTATTGGCTATAATGAATTAATAATTGGCTCGGTCCATGGACCCAATTCAATTAATTCATATGTAACGACCCTCACCCTGGCCAGACACAATATTGTCCGCTTTTGGCTCACCCAGACCAGAAACTTCCCAGAGGGTCACCCATCCTGGTACTACTCCAAGTTAAGCACGCTTAACTACAGAGTTCTGATGGGTTCACGGCCATCACGGCTTTAAAACGCGTTGTGTCATAGAAGGGTGTTGAATCTACATATAGCGCTTGCCCCATCCACACCCAGACGATGTGGGATTGTGCACCTGTAGCTCGCCCAGTGTGGTAGCCTACTGGTGCCTCCTGCACACGCTCACACACACCCGCCCACAAGGTCGCCACAATCACCCCCCCTTTGGGGCCCAACGTCCTCGTTGGCCACACTTCCGGCTGGGTCAGGCTCTGATACCATTTGTAACGACCCTCACCCTGGCCAGACACAATATTGTCCGCTTTTGGCTCACCCAGACCAGAAACTTCCCAGGGGGTCACCCATTCTGGTACTACTCCAAGTTAAGCACGCTTAACTACAGAGTTCTGATGGGTTCACAGCCATCACAGCTTTAAAACGCATTGTGTCATAGAAGGGTGTTGAATCTACATATAGCACTTGCCCCATCCACACCCAGACGATGTGGGATTGTGCACCTGTAGCTCGCCCAGTGTGGTAGCCTACTGGTGCCCCCTGCACACGCTCACACACACCAGCCCACAAGATCGCCACATCATAAATTAATTTCTACTCCACTAAAAGAAATTAATTGAACTCCAATTAAATAATAAATAACCTCTAAATTAATATTGCACTTTGACCCCTCTATGCATAATTAGTCATCGGATAAATAAAACCATCAATCCGACTACTAATTAATATATTTATTTTGGTACCATTGATTATTTCTGGCTCGATCACAATAAAACATTTGTTTGACAAAAATAATAATTTAAATAAATAAATATATAATAAATCATTTTGTCTAAAAACACACGAAGGCCTTCGAATTTACTTTGTGATCAACCATAATCAATACAAAATAAATACAAGTAGCAATGATACCAATATTGAAAATATAACCCTCTAACTATTAATTACATAACTACCCAAAGTGTCGGTCTAAGGATCCCGAAGAATCCGTCGAACAAATCAAAGTAATTATTAATTAATAAAAGAGTCTATACTTTTCTCATGCTTAAGAGTCAAATGCCATGATGGTGATAGTGAGCAATTGCATACGACGGCTCTCACAATATATCTCAACCTAACGCGAATCCAGTTTAAGTCTTAATTAATTATGAGTCCATCTATAATTACCGACTATGACCAATTTATGATTACTATTTATATTCATGTTTTGATCACCATCACATACATATATAAATATTTCTTGTAATCAAGTGGATACTATCAATTCTATAATGAATCGAAATATAATACATTGAATTCACCAATTGTATAAAGCATAAATATTTCAGAAACGTCAGGAACATATGTCACTATAATCCAAATAGGAATTTGCTATGCCAGTGCATATAAATCCCAACAGCTCCCACTTGCCCTCATAGCCAATTCAAATTACATCTAACTCCAATGTTATCCAGATGACGATCAAAACTATTGATCGATGACGCCTCTATTAATGGATCAACAAAGTTGTGTTCCAATGCAATGTTCTAGCTATGAGTACATTTTCTTGCCGGACAATCTCATGTAAGACATGATACTTCCTATCAATGTACCTTGTTCCTCTATAGAACCTTGGGTCATTGGTTTGGACTA